TGCCAGAGGCGCCAATGTATGCTTTCGGTTTGACCTTGTTGAGCTGCGTCGTTGCTGTACTTTGCGACGGTGATTAGCCGCGACAATTATTATTATTAAGCCAGAAACAAATATGGCAGGAGATAATCTGTTGTTTTAGGGCCACGCTCACAAAACAGGATCTTGGTACCTCTTAGGGGTTCTTTTTAAAATTCCTGATGAGCACCCCCGTCCCTTTTTTTATGGGAGTCCTGCTGGGGTCATACCATAAAGAATACACATAGCTACTGCTGCATTACCTCAAGTACATCATCTGTTCTGTCAGTAGACTGAATCGTCAATGCAACCTTCTGTCCATTCATCAGATAAACATCAAGTTGAACATCCTCTGGAGATGCTTTCAATGACTCCTAAAGAAAACAGCAACTGTGATGAGAAGTATTTACTGCCACATGCCACAAGGTCGAAGGGCAAGAGGGAGACCTAAGACCACTCGCAGAAAGACTGCTGAGAAAGAAAAGAACATGGCTGGGTGGAAGAGCTGGAATGCAGCTAAGGCAACGGCGCAAAACAGACAGTGCTGGACTGAGAGCACGACAGCGTTATGCACCTACTGGGATGATGAGAAGATATGAGGATGATGAGGATTTTTATGCCACAGAAATACGTAATTTTTCAAATAAAGTTCAAATTTAAAATCTTTACATGTTCATTCATTTGATGTTCAATTTGTTTGTTCATTCACAAAACAAATCTCTTCTCAGGGAGGTTTGAAGAGTTCAGGTTATTTTGTTTTACTTCCACAGTGATAATGTCGACAAGACTTATTAGTTTAAGCTTAAAGCTATGATTGTGACAACATATACCTTTTGAGCATTAAGGAAAAAACCCACAAAAATTGAACTTGAAGCAATCCCAGGATCTTGACAAATACCCTGTAGATACTTCTCCAAGTGAGCTCGCCTCTCTTCAACCTGCACTGGGGTCAAGGACAGTAACTTCCTTGGAGGAAACTTTGCTGTAATCCGTGGCCCATATTCTTTGCGCAGCTTAAAATAAAAGACATATACAGTTCAACCCCTGCTTAACGGCCACCCTCAGGAAAATGGATAGCGATTGCTGGCTGGGGACATTGCACATGTTATGTTCTTGGGCAAGACACTTAACTCTCACAGTGCCTCTCTCCACCCAGGGGTATAAATGAGTACCCATGATCAAACTCCATCGTGGGGGGAGTAGAAATACTCTTAGTCGCTTCATGCTACCGAAACCAGAAGTTCCAGCCTGATAGGCCGCTTGGCTGATATGCAGACTTAACCTTTACCTTACCTCCCCATAATAGCCACCTCTCTGCAACAGTCACTTTCCTCTGTCCCCAAGAGGGCTGTTGTACAGAGGTTCAACTGCAGTTATATTCTCAGGATATCATAGATAATTCAATAAACCTGGACTATCAAATAGCACTACGGGAACTGTTACAGTCTGTTATATCAGTTGATTAATTCTTTATTCAAAGAAATGTCAAAAACCTACCTGCTCACTAAATTGATAAAGGTCCGAAAATCGAATACCACAGTGAAAAGAACCATTAATGTGTACATTGTAAGCCTGAAGTGAAATAAAAAGTGCAAATTAACCATGCAACTTCTTTAACGTGTATCACACTATATTGCCTCACTCTTGATTTTCACAGTAATCCTGACTATTACACACAGGTTGTCCAAGATATCAGTGTCTGAATATAGGAGGTGTCTGAGACAATCGGGTGGCCTCCATTTAATACAGTTTTACCAATTTTCTTCTTTAATAGCTAAAATCTTGACATTGTTTGACATTCAGCAAGCCATGAATTGCCCCAGATAGACAAGCCAAAGTGATTATATGACAAGAAGTTGTCTTACCTGCCCAGGTTACCCACCATAACTCAGAATGGGAGAGGGGGGAGGGGAAAGAGAAGGGTTGTCTTAGGTACCCAAGACCATATATACAGGCCCTAAGGCAACACATATCTGAATTTTTTTTTAAAAAAACACTGCTGCTGCCAATAATGAATGTCAGCAGAGGCCATCCCACCACACCCAAATAAATGAAAATATATTTATCATCTGTAATTTTACGAGGAATCACAAAGTACGAAAATCATTGCAACAAATAACTACTTGAAAAAGATAACTTTCTAGTGCATTTTATGTTTTTTTAAAACGCTTATTTATCTTGAAAAAACAACTGAAATCAACCCCTCAGTCTCAACAGCACAAGACAATGATTCGCATATGGTGAAGTCAAGGACAGGAAGTGTATGGTGCAGTTTTGTACACGAACTGAAGATGTTATGTCTAGCTCTTTCAAAAATAATTGCAACGAAGTGTACTTTGCCGAAAGGCGGCGTGTTTCGAAGCCTGAGTTTAAAATGTGCGTGTTATTTTTTCCGTGATCGAATGTAGCTTAATTAAGCTCAAATGATCGTAAGACTAATACTAGTTTGTACTTGTTGATCAACATAAGCCTTATTTGTAACTTTTGTTCGAATTCGTACATAAGTTTATGATAAGCTTATCTATATTTCGACATATTGGCTGGCTATCAAATTAAAAAAGATTATTTTCCTTTATGACAACATTTAAAGGTGTCAAAAGAACATTGTTATCACAGTTGTGTAAAACTTTGGGAATTCAAACTATGAAGGAAAACAGATGGGTCTCTACAGAGCCAACCTTCGCTTAACAAAACAAATTGAGAAATTGTAGCGAGGCAGACGACGTGCATACTCACTAAATAATTGGATCCATTTTTGTCCTTTAGTTCGACGGTATCGGGCACGGAGAAATGCATTTTGCCGTGCAAATCACATCCAACTGACCTACAACAACAACTTGCACCGAGGAACCTGCATCTCTCAGATCCTGTTTTGATCACGTGTTCTAAAGTTCTTTGAGTGCCTGGTACCGAGCGAGCGGCCCAAAACTACCTGTACCACCTGTCCCTCGAGTAGGTAATTTCTGATCAATATGATCCAATATGATCCAAGATGGCAGCCTGTAAAGATATTTTTTAAACCAAAAAATTTGCTGATAATATTTGGAGAGATTTACATACGCTAGGAGCTTGAAGCCGTGGTTTCAGTTTCCATATTCTCCGGATCTCCGGTGCCCCAGATAACCAAAGTCACAGACTGTGACGTATTTCCGGCTATGTTTGCAAGTTTTTTTCAATTTTCTTCAAAAGAAAAAACAAAAGGCGCATGGCGAACAGTCCACCGATATCCTCTTCGAGAAGGTGCTTGCCGGCTAAAGGAAGACTGACTGAGCAAACAAACTTGTCTGAGGATTTTAACTTGACTTGACTCTTTTTATTTTTATTGCCTCAATCAGCAATTACACCATGTAAATCTAAAATTATCCTTTTAATTTACACCTTTTCACGTTCTGTTGTTACTATTTGTCTTAATTAGCATTTTTTGCCTACTTATTATTCAACTTGCTTTGTAATCATTCATTCAACTGAAGATGACAGAAGTTCTGTCGAAACATGTTTTTTAAACTTAAAAAAGTGGTCGTTTTCCTTAAAATCTTTACATGTCTGCTGCTATCTAGACCGTTAGGAACAAATTCATTGAAAAGAAGTGAAGCAAAGTGACTAAACGAAAGTGTCAAGATGAAAGCACGGAGAAATACTTCATTTTTACTATACTGACAAAAATCTTTTCGATGACCTTGTAATCTTTATTTTTTTCTTTGCTTTCCGTGATCCTTCCTTCCTTTTGTCTCTCTTTTTTCCCCTTCTTTCAGCTCTCTTTATTTTCTGCTCCTTTTAATAACATGCCGACTCTAAAATTCAAAGCTCAACCGACAATTGCGTTTTTCGCAACCGTCAATCAAATGGTCGGTGGCTCCTCCCAGCTCCCGACTACTGCCGAGCGCGCGGTAATTATAACCAAATCGTTGACAACGAAACAGTGCTCGGCAGTAGTCGGAATCTGGGGGTTCGCCAAACAGCGAATAACGCATTTGTAGGTTGAGCTTCGAATTTTAGAGTCCGTATGTTATTGAAAGACGCAGCAATTCGTCCATCTATCTGTCCATTTGTCTGTCTGTCTGCCCATCTTTCCGTTTCTAGCTATGAATTAGTAAGCTCTGTACAGTGGCGCAAATTTTACGTAAGGCGAATAATTAGTATATGTAATAGGACTACATGCTGTCCAATTTGGAAATAATTGGATAAAAAAAATTCTGAGCACAGCCAAAATTGGACGAGGCCGTAGGCCGAGTCCAATTTGGCAGTCCGAGGAATTTTTTGAATCCAATTATTTCAAATTGGACAAGCATGTAGTCCTATTACCTATTAATTATATAGGATCCAAAAACAGATAAACAAGGCAAATATTTTATCCTCTAAAGTACAGTATTTCTCACTTCGCTTTGCTCAGCACGTCACAAGTCAAACACTTTAACGCAGGTTTTTTGCTTCTTTGAGTGTTCTTGTTCTGATTATTCTCCCTCATCAGTAGCATCTATCTCTGGAAACCTAGCCGAAGACTCCATTTGAAAGTTTAGACATCAAAAAGGTGGAGAGAAAAGTCGGGAAATTCCGCCATTAACATAAAAAAACTTAGCGAGCTACAATCGCTCGGTGACGTTTGATGGCAGTGATAATAGCTGCAACCTGATTGGCCAATACTCAGTTCTTTTATTTATCTTGACATTTCATTGGTTGATGGAAAGTATCCAGATTTTTCTCAAATTGGACAGTTTGTTCAAAGCTAAACTAAACGTTCGAGCAAAAACTATCCAATTAATAAATAGGTCTGTTGGCAATATTGGATTTCGATGGAGCTATATAATTAGCGTATTAATCTTGCAACGTCACGCCTACTTATGATCCTCTCTCCTCCGCAGAGGTTCCCAATGGGGCTTTCGTTGTAAAAATCCGCTGGGCAAGGTGGGTGCGGGCGCAAAAGAACAGGATCCACTCCTGCACTCACTACGTACAGCGGACTCTCCCCACCTAAAACCTGTCAGAGCCTCTGCGGAGGAGAGAGCTTATGATCAACATTACTTGGCCAGGAGCGCGATATTAAATCCGGCTATTTGCGGTCAGAGTTGTTTTCTCATAATGCCAAAGCCCGCAAAACGAGCGGCGAGGTGGGTCGTTCCCTATCTTTACTCGGCTCTTCTACTCGTCTCCCTATCTTTGTGTAGGCCTTTCCACAAATATCCGCATATTTTTGGGGGGTTATGAGAAGTTTCCGAGATATTGATTCAGAAAATATTAATATAATTAGAAAGATGTTACGAAATATTCCTAGCTTTTTTGGGCTTGACCCAAGTGTTTTCCTCAGTTCTATCTTCTACTACTGCAAGATAAGTTTGAAAATTTTAGCCTGAGTGAGTCAAATTCAGTTTATTTTTAAAACAAAAATGAGAGATACTTAGAGGGTTTTTCAAGATGTTTAGAAACATTTTTGTGATGTTTAGAAATTTTTTGGAGAATCAGTTCGGTGAAGATATTTTAGGAGATTTTACGTGATGTTTGTGGAAAGGCTAAGCTTCGTGTTATGCACTTAAAAAATGTTTGTACAAGACGATATTAGGGTCTTTTGTAACTTTATTTAAAAATAAAAACCACATATAATTTTTATTAATTAAAATACGTACTGAGCTAAGATAGGAAACGTTCATGGCTCCCTCTGCATGCAATATTTCACCAGTTTGAATCGTTTCGCAAACTAATTAGCCTTTAGAAATTTCTTCTTTTTTATTCCATTACACCTCTCAATTTTACAAAAACTGGCCGAAAAACTGCCTAACCTAACTTGTACTCGATTAACGTACAAATGCTTGTAACTTTCGTGTAATTTTCAATGATATTCATATTGAATGAAAAGCGATATCTTCTCGTCAAAATATATATATATAAAAAATCAACTTTGATGGGTTTTTTAATGATTACTGATTAACATGAATTTCTTTTTAGTAGCTTGTGTTTGGCTATACCCCGTGCACACTACGCCGGAGAAATTTGAAAACGCAGCTTTATTCCTACGGTTAGACCTACCGTCCACACTAATCCGTCACGAAAACGGAGCTTTTGAAACACGCCTCTTCAAACCGGAGGAATTCGAAAACGCCGGCTTTGGTTGTAGTTAGGACGGAAAACATTTTGAAAACGGAACTTTTCGAAATCGATATGGCGTCACGAAAATCATGTGATTTCCCAGCCCGAGTTTTCCTCAAACACAAATCCAAAATGACCGGTGATTGTTGCGATTTCAAATTTCTCCGGCGTAGTGTGGGTGGAAAACATTTGACGGGTTTTCAGAGTGAAAACGCCGTTTTCAAATTTCTCCGGCTGAGCCTATATCAATCCCGAGAGAAGTATCTCAAACTAAGCAGGGTACTTAACAGGATGGTAAAATTAAATGAGAGGTTTCGACTCTGATGAATGTTCATAACTGCTTCATCTTGAAAATGCGACGTGGCTTTTTAATTGTTAACTGAATGCCATCTTTGATTCCATATGTCTCATTTCTATTTGTTGACTCTTTGTCGCGAAAAATCCTGTTAATCCTGTTTTTCAACCGGTTTGTTATGTCGCGTGAAAGAACGTCTTGTCCACGACCAAGTTGCTGATCATTCCTTTCTTGACGTCTTTTTCCAATTTGGTGACGTCACCAAGTAGTTTAAGTGACGTCATGACTTTGGAGAATCTTGGTGACTCTGCCGGTTCACGAACCTCTCTGTTGATGAGTGAAGCAAATAGGTTACATGTCACGTAACTAAATTGTTGTACTTGTATATCACTAGTACTTTTTTATCGCAGCAAATAGATCATTATGATGATGATGATGATGATGATGATGATGATGATGATATGATATGATATGATATGATAGGATGATACTTACGAGAAAGAAATTTCCGAGACTACTGTATTGCTTCCTAAAGCTCTTTCAATCTGCATGAGAAAAATGCATTCATTGATTGTCAGTGCTGGAAAATTTAAAAACTGATGATTTTACTAGCAAACAGTCGAATAGTGAGAAAAAGTAAGAAAAGTAAGACAGTCAGAAAAAGCTCTAAATACACGGCTGATGTAAACTTCTCCGGTCCAACCCTCTCTCCTCTGCAGCTTTAGCGTTCGTTATTTTCTCCCCACTTGAAATATGCCCCTTTTGAACTTCTGCAAAGGAGAGAGAGGGGGTCCACCCGTTTTTATCTCTAAGAAAAATTGTGGTCACGGCCCATTTTATTAGATCGCAAAAGGTGTAACTCACTTTTAGCGGAGATGCCGCGGCCGAGCGGTCGCCAAGCGGAGCTCCATACTCATATAGGAAAGAAAAGGAAGCCTATGAATGGATTTTCTCAGGGTTATCATGGTTAACGGTATTGCTCGTGGGCGTGTACGTAAGACGTCCAAGACGACGAAGACGACGAAGTCGCGCAAGATGGCGGCCATACTCCAATAATAGGTTGACAGATACATGCAGCCTTGGTTTACAGCGTAGGTACTTCTTTGATAACGGAGCTTCATGTGAGTGTGCGCTTTATAAAAAATGACGGCTAATTTCTAATGTTTTCGAAGTGCGTGTGAGGAGGATTTAGGTAAAGTTTTGAACGCCTAGTAGACCCATACTGAAACAATTAGATTATTTGGTCTCGATTTCTGTGCGTGATGTTGACTCGGGCTGCAACCTCGTCAACTATAAATCGCGCGATAGAAATCCTGAGCTCATAATCTAATAGACCTTTCCCGCATTCCAACAAACATTGGCGCCGAGTCGAGGATAGGGTGGACAAAAATATAGTAAATGTATGAAAATGTCCACCCCAACCTCGCTCTGGTGCTATTGTTCGCACGCACTGAAGTGAATGCGGGAAAGGTCTATTGTCAAGTAGAAACACAATTTAAACCAGTCATCGCGCGTATTTTCTTTGGGCTATTTTTAAAACTCTTTTGTTTGTTGCGTAACCGGAAAACTTCCGACTGTAGAGAAAAACTTTCCTCGAGTGTTAGTTTGATTTTTGTTATTTTACGACAACTGTTAATCTCACCTCTCTTTTCACGTTATTGGCAAGAATGCTGTAAGCTGTTGAATTCTCATTTGCATACCCACTGTGAAAATCTTGATTCAGAACGAAGGACACTTTGGTTCCTCTCCCTGGGATACAAAAAGACAAAAACAAACATCAAACAAAACATTAACGATTCATTAAATCTGGGCGACTCAAACGTACTATAACATTATCTCATCTTTGCGCTTTTATAGATCTGTATGGTACTCGATGTAAGATCGCAACGGCTTGAAATGGTGTTATTTATGCGTCCGGTTTTTCAGTTAGCAAGTACATTTTGTATTGCATTTTATAACGCATTGGAATGGGGCGCTAGTATCTTCGTGTAATTTATTCAAATACTTTTGGGGCAGTGCATTTTCAAGTTTTCGCCGTGCGGATCGCAGCTTAGTATATCCAAAATCCAAGCATCTAGTGCAGTTTGTCTCCGTATCTCAGCCATTTGTAAGCAGTCCCAGCATCGCGTTACAACAGTATAAAGTCTCTGTTGTTATCATGGGTTTTAGTTTGCACCGTTTTGTTCGTGTTTGTTTAGGTTTAACAGCATTGAATCACAAGTGGTTGATCGCCATGTAAATAAAGTGCGCGTTTAAACCGTTATTGCTCGCTGGGGATGGTTTCACGTCTTGTTGATAGCTTCACTTGGTAATGAGTAGAAATCATTATGACAATATATAAGCAGCCAAGCTTCGGAGCGAAGAAGTCAATCAGGTAAAATCAATTACAATCGACTTTTCCCGCCCTTTTCCTCGGCCACGTAGTTGAAAAAAAAGTTCTGATTGGTTCATGAAGCGGGTTCCGATTCCACTGTGTTGGATGCGAACTTTTTTTATCTTCTTCAACAGCACTATATTTAGAGAGTGTTTTAACGTGGATTAACTAATTAATTAAATGTTTTCTTTAAGGACGAGAAAACGTTTCGAGCACAAAGACAATCCTCGCGTGTCACTAGACGTGAGTTGAGGGCACCAAGTGAAGTAAGACAAGTAATCTTTATACCGGAGGTGTTTTTTTTGTGAATTCTCATGAAATATTCCTGTTACAGCTGTGGAACCCAATTAATCCGGTCACCAGCGGGCATAAACGTCTGGCCGTATCAAAGGGGTGGCCGTATAAAGGGATTCTTTAAGTAAGAAAATGACTGGTTGAGCTTGTGTTGAGGCCAGAATAAAGAGGCCGTATTAACGGGGTGACCGTAAGGCGGGGTTCCACATTACATGTAATATGCTTGCTGTATTCCGAGAAAAATTCTTACCTAAATCTGATTGCATTTCCTGGGCAGCTTTATCCTCATCAGAAATACGTGGGACTTCGTTTCTGCTGGAAGCATCTACATTCTCGTGTGATACTTTGATGGCTTGAAGTTTGCCAAGTCTCATCATCTTCTCCATTAGACTGACCCTGTGATGGTGCTGAGGTGTTACAAAGAGCTGAACAGATTCCTTCCTCTCAACTGCTCCAGATCCTGAACCAGAAGCCTGACTATCATCGTAGCTTTGAGATTGAGGAGGACTGGGCACACCGGAACCGGAAGCGGTATATCGGTTCAACTGCAAAGGTATACCGGCCTCAAAGATGGCGTCTTCGATCCCATGTGAATCGATTTCCTTCTCTTCGTCTTCTTTGACAAAGCCGGAGCCAGTTGTGATGGGTTCAACACCGGAACCGGATGTTGCGTCATCATATGGACCAGCAGTTACGTCGAAATGCGGATGTGACCAAACATCAGGAGAAGAATCACCGGAAGCGCTGCCAGGAGAGAACGCTGCATTCTCCTCGGCCTTGGAGATAATTGATCGCGAATTAACACCCCCACCATCCCCTCCTTGTTCACTTTCAGACTCATAACACCCGTCACCGGAAGAACATCCAGAATCAGATTCTGAGTCAGCGGAAGAAGTATCAAAGGGTGCGTCATCCTCACCGGAAGTGATATCCTGGCCAGAACCACTAGAAGCCGGAAGATCTCTTCTTTCACTTGCATTTTCGCCGGATGTTGCCTCGACAGGCGGACTATAGTCTTCAGAAGCCCTTGTCACCTTCTCAGGTGTAGATATTTCAGATCTGCGGATCAAGTGGAGCTCTCCGTCGCGTCCTCTGTCGTCTGCGTCAAGCTCAGCTCTAACAACAGGCCAAAAATTAACACCAGCAGAATCAACACCGGAACCGGAAATAGACTCCTGCTGATCACCTGTACCATCTTGCTGTTCGGCCTCTCCATCAAATCGAGACTCTGTTCCTTTCGTTGCTGACGCACGAAAAAGAGCGTCATTTTCATCCTCTGCAGATCCTGATTGACTTTGAGAGGCACTGTCGTCTTTGTGATCTGCTGGCTCAGACTTTTGAGACCTGCTTCCCAGCGCTTCGAAGTTCTCAAAGTCATCCACAACTTCCGGTATTGCTCCATGTACGTCATCAGCACCGGAAGCCTCCTTGCCTGACGCACTCAAGTCGTTCAGAATGTCTGGAAATGTAACGCATTCATATTAATTTTGCAAACTAAGTCTTACATAAGTCCTTAATAAGGGTACTTGCTGATTGTCCTTTGAATCTTTTCAGTCATTGCTTTGTGCGTCATTAGAAGCTTGGTCTAACCAATTAACTGCCTGAATGTTCTTAAACTCAGCCGCAGAACAATCTGTTCAGAAATTAACGTGTTTATTCCTACGTCGTCAGAGAAATTGTAAACGGCATTTCAGTGCGAGAAGAGTGAACTCAAGGAGGAGCGTGAAGGCTTGCGGGAAAATACAGTTCTCATCAACTCTTGCACACCCTGTTTGAATTTTTTTGTTTTCTTGTCTGTTTATTGTTTTATTTTGTTTGTTTGTTTGTTTTCAACCATGTAAGACTATAGAACCAGGGCATGACAGGCACAAAGTTATGTTTCTAGTCTTGGACTCCTTGAGCGGAAAGCAAATCTTGTTATTCAATGAGCTGCATTGTAACTCAAAGCATGATTAGTGGGTAGTTTGTGATAGAGTTAAAGCTGTTACCGTCACATTGGCCGCAACTGTACGGACACACCAGGTTCATGTAATCCTTGTAGTCACTCAGTTCACAATACTGGTGTTTCGCCCAGTCTCCACACTGCTCGTAATGATCGCGGCAGTCTGGTTAGAATTAATGTTGGCACAGTATTAGAGCTAGTCAGATTGGCAGAGTGTTAGACCAGTATACAAGAGAAACCTGTAAGTCGTTTGTTATAAGAAGCCAGAGCATTAAACGAGGGCTTTGCGCCACTCGGTAAACTTTTGTACCTTTCGGTGCATGCTTTGCAGTCTTTAAGCTACGCACTTAAGAACGCCGGGTAGCTTTGACAGTTGTGTTATAATTACTGCGCGAGGCGGCGGCTTTTTTGTTAGGTTAGATGATTATGAGTTTTGAATTAAACCGTAACAAGTTAGGCTCGATTACCAGCCGCTGTTCGGGAAAGGAGCCCGCGCTCCGGATATCGATCCTCCCTAGAGAGTTTCGGAAATCGAGCTCCATAGCGCGGCATTTTAAGTTGTTATTTAAATTAACCGTAAACAGTATGAAAAAAAGGGATATTGTACATTCAATCAGAATCTATTCTTGATTATTCCATCTAAACTGGTTATATTGGAGGGCCTTCGAATTAGGTTGGTTTTTGTTTGAATGAGGTTGTTAATTAATCATCTTCAGTGAAAGCCGCTTTACTGACCAGTTCAAGACTAAAGAAAATTAATTTTGATGAGCAAGACAGACGTTACCGTTAAGTGGCAGAGCATCTGAGAACTGCAAGCTTGCCACAACCGCTAAAACAACGAGGATCCTCATCTTCCCTACTAGACAAAATAACATTAGTAACAACTTGTTTTTCCTGCTAAAAATTATTTCACTGGCTTCATCTACGTCAAGACATGACAGAGGGTTTACCAATGGCCCCAGGCCTCTATGGGTCAGCACAGGCCTCCGGTTTCTTGTTCCGGCACAGCTAGCTGATCGGCGGGTCAACTTTTCATCAAAACAGTCAGTAGTTCTATTTTATGTAGTGAATTGGAAACACGTCGAAAGTCCAGTGATAACTGGTTAATAATTCTTGTATCAACTGAAAGATACAGGTTTCTTATTGTATTCAATGTGAAATGTTTAACTGAGGCTAGACTCAGAATGAAAAACATTTCCAATGCATGAGAAAGTATATATTTTTCAAATTTAATTTTGATATTTAGTCTTTAAAAAATGTCTTTTTTTAAGATAACTTTCCTATAAAGATCTCACGGCCTTTTGATTTGAATATGCGATGGAACTTTCAGAAACATGCGACGACAAGAAAATAGAATTGCCTGAAAATGGCAGCGAATTTTTCGCTCCAGAAAAAAATCAACAATTAACCGGGAGAAACATGGCAAGAAATAGTTCTACCCTCACAAAGAAAAATGATAATTCTCTTTTTTGAAATTTCGATATACACCTATTCTTTGGTAAACGAAGGCGTTAGTTCCTATTTTCAACGGTTCACTTATTCGAGTACGAAAGCTCGTTCCGCTCTAAAGTTTGAATATCAATAACGATTTAAACTAATGCAAAACGAGTGAGACACAGTAAAGTTCCAAAATACAAGCGCACACACCTTTTTTCTGCTGATCCCGTTGCTTAATCTGTGAGAGTAAAATTTCGTTCTTGAATGGCGCACCAGAGTTCTGTGGTCTTATTTTCCCTCAAGATGGCAACCTGCTCTACCCGTCAGAATTCCTTTGTCTTCGTTAGTTTATTTTCGTTCGGTAGCGCCTTGAAAATGATCAAAGATTAATCATCCTAGCTGTCGGAGCAGGAACCAACAAACGAGCGTACCAGAAGACGCACTGGCTTGGATTTTTAGAGTCGTAAATTCAATTTCCTTTGCAAAGGTCAAAATCCCGAAATACATAACGGCGTGTTCGAAGTAATATCGCGCCAAATAGCTTTTTTTAAAACAAGAAATAAGCATTGTTGATTTACAGTCATAAGATGAGAGAGAATGTATCTAGCTTATTATTTGGTAAATAAGCACTAGAACCCGCTTGATTTTCCGCCCACTGGCTTTTTTTTCTTTACTTTTACCACACCCCTTACCAGACACAATGCAGTTAATCTTAGCATCGTGTCGTAATTAAGCCCAGTCAGCGTGTGAACTTAATCGTTTGCCAGAATATATAGTTCGGAGAAGTTCTAAATGCGAGCGACGTACTTTGACTACTTACAAGGGATGTAAAAACGAGGAATAAGGCCCTTCGCTCTCTCTGTTGCCCTTGGTTCTTCACTGCGCATGCTCGACAGAGCCATGGGTGCGGTGCTGTCAGTCTGGGTGCTGACAAAACCCTTTGACGTCTCTGGGAACAAAAAAATCTTTCACCAGTCTTTCATCAGTCACTTTCGCCCAAGAGAAATTAAGGCTTGGTCACGTCACAGAATTTCGGGTGTTCTTTCCATTCGCATCGATTATTTTAAGATAAAGGTAAATAAAAAACTGATTGAAACGGCTGTAAGACCACAAGAAAAGTACGGATGATCATCACATCGGCCAAGGCTATAGAAATTGGAGGAGTGTCTTATCAGTAAAATCTTTTCTTACACTATCACATAGACCCTGAAGTAGACCCTACCAAATTCTGAGATAGTTTTGATCGACTTCAGTGCGTCCAACATGTCGGGCGAAATTGAGTTGGTGCTGAGAACAGGAAGTGATCAACTGCTTGAAGTTCAGAAAACTGTGGATTTGTTTTTGTGCAAGTGTGAACACAACACTTCATCAGATACGTGAAATATGTTCACCTAAGACATGCTGCAGAATTATGAAACGATCGAAGAACCACAAGCCACGGCTTTCATGTTGGCTCAGCTTCCTTGGACACACACTAGTTCTTTTTTCAGCTTACAGAACATAAAGCAAGAGATAACAGACGGGGAATCGAGAGACTGAAGTTAGACAAAGGCGTGCTACTTAGGAACGGACCATTATTTTTTGAGGGGGTGGGGGGAAAGACGGTTGGGCAAGGTTTTGGGGCATGGATCCGGAATTTATTTTACTCACTTATAGATTGTGCATGTTTTTTCGGTGGGCAATAGCTTGTGAAATGGCTCCCCTTGTACGACTTTTTTTAGCTGTTCTTGCAGGCAGGAATTTGTTTTGGGAATTGCTCAACCCCCTTCCACACCCCCCTCCCAGAAAATAATAATGGTCCGTCCCTTTATTTGAAATAAGCTTAGTCTTTAAATTTTATTAGACGTGTTAGAACTGTTGTTGAAATATAAGTGTAATTACTTAAAGTTAAATGAGGTAGATTACCAAAACGCCCCCACAAGTAAACGCTCAGGGAAAAACGCTTCTTCACGAGTATGCAGCTTCCCACAAAGAAAGACTGACTGTATATTCCTCGTTCTTTTAAAGGCGCCACACCGAAGGTTTAAGTGTCTAAGAAAGCTTATCCTAATAAGCAAAAATCCCAGGGCGTTTTGTTGGGGCGTTTGACCTGTAACCGATGACGAAATGCGACATTATGCTTCTGTAATTTGCGGTGAATCTTTTTGCGCTACATTTCGATCTGTTTTTAATAAAAAATTGCCTTATCAGTGTTCCTTATCGTCAAATCATGATCAGTATATAAGAGGATTTTATAAATCTCCCGTGAATAACGGGACAACACTTGAAGCTGTGTGTCAACAAATCACAAAGCTTTATCTTTCCCCGTTCTCATCAGTGTTATTTTAATCATTTTGTCAACAAAAATGGAAATCTAACTTTCATGTTGCTTAATCTAACTTAAATTCGCACATATATCAACTTCTCTTCGGTTGTTTATGGTGAGAGAAAGACAGCTTCGACGCACATGTCTCTTCAAAGCGGTCCCGCCTTAGTGGCATATCAATCCGAGACCGCGGGTCCGAGGTCACTGTAGCTGTTCACGATTTGGATCTGTCAAGGCATTCTCAGGCTTAGAGTTGGGCGAATTAGTCTTATAATGTAGAAATCAATGGTAGATAGTTACTTTCCAGTGGGGGAAATGGCAAGTTGGGGTGGCGAGAGTGTTCTCGTCATATTTACACTTCCCTTGCTTTTCGCCAAACTGTCCTTATATGGTAAGTGGCGCTTGACCCTCGCTAGTCAAGCCGGTATGAGCAGGATCATGGGTAATCTGTTGCTATTCGAGTGATAATGGCGTCTTCTGAGGTTTACGAAGTAGTGCTGAGTGGCGGTGCTCCTTGGGGCTTTAGATTGCAAGGAGGGAAGGAGTTTGGAGCACCTTTGAGAATTGCAAAGGTTAGTTGTCTTGAATTACCATCATGGATTGCATGTCATCTCAATTTTACGGGCGAATAGCTTGCAAGATGACTGCTTTGTAGTTTGCACGACAACGTAAACTATATGGATACTTGCCTTCAGGTTCATTATAAACTACGGTTATTTGCAAGTTTGCTCGTCCAATTGGTAGTGCAACATTTTATATGAAATGGTTGGTAAACTGTTAAATTGTTGCGTTAAAATCAAAGCCGTTTATACCTCAGTTCGTAAGAATCTCGTGAACAGTGCTATTGGAATTTCAAAGTTGTGAAGGATATTCGATAGCTTTTAGACTGGCGGTTTGGTATGATCGCTTCTAGCGTTTACAGAAATTTCAGCAAATCGTTTCCACCAATTCCGAGTAATTGCGATTTTAACTTTACTTTTTTGTGGCATTGGTGACAGTCTCTAAGTTTTGTTGTTAGAATTTTAATTATTCGGGTAGTCGATTACTAGCTTCGGGGACATTTTATTTTTATCTTCTAGCTTAATTGGTGCGTGCGTTTATGTCATCATATTATTGTGCTGAGAGAAATGGAATAGCTAAACCAGAATTAATGTGAAACTATATGGGATAACTCCTTTGTATGATCTGAAATTGTCCGTTGCAAATTCCAATCAAATCATTAACTTGTATATTTCCGTTGATAGTTTACGTGCTGGGGTTGTGAAATTAAATTAATGCTTGTGGTTTGAATCGCTGATCCACGACGGAGCTTAATATCACGACATTATTTATACAGTATCGGTTTCTCTACAGCTAGTACAGGTCATGAAATCCTTAAATTCTAATTAGAATTATTTAGTGGAAAATGATTCTTAAAAAATGCCGAGTTCTAATTTTGGAGAATGCTGCTTGCAGTTGTCAAATGTCGAAATTACTGCTTTTGAGATGAAGCTAGACACAGAAGCACACCCCCAAAAAAATGTTTTTATGCTTAATAACTCGAAAGAATGTTAATACGTACGGATAACATACTTTGTATTCAATACCAACCTAGAGAGATTCGTAAATAAGGAACAAAATATTTATTAGTGGACGGTCTTGTTTTAGCTGTGCTAAAAGAATTTACCATTATTTGCCATGGACAATATCACTGCCCGAGTACAAAGCAAATAAAGATACAGAAGTTTATTTTCACGAAGCAAATTTATTTTTTGTAGCAGCATATTTCATGAATATCCAGTTTGTTTTGTTTATGTTCGAAACTTAAGGCATGGGTATTTTCTTTCAATTCATATTTTATGATAATGTATTGTTGGGTCTTACCACAAACCGAATTATTTAAAGAGTCTTAAATTGTTTTTTATTCCTAATAAGTTTAGTCTTCTTACTTTCTTGTGATACTGCTTGTGCATGTGCTTGCGTTTAAGGATCATGAAAAATATGTGACTGAAATTATGCTGTGATTTTGGTTTGTCATGGTATCATTACCACAGTAATGAGTTGAAATTTTAATCACCGGTATTCAAATTTCTGCATAAGGCTAAATCCTTGAAGGTTGGATAATCATGTTTTTGAAAACTTTAGCTAGTGATGCTGTACATGAACATTTTGCCCCCTTGTAATCAAATAACTTTGGCATCTGAACTTTGGTTTTGGCCAGAAACCCTTTGCCCCCGATAATTAACAGACGTGCAGTATGACTGTTTGCTTTTTCCAACTGGAAAAAAAATTAAGGTGCTGCAAATTTTTCCCTGCAAAATCAATATTTTTGGTGGAATATTCGTTACTATAAGGTCAGTACTTGTCAGTTATTATGAAGCTCCAAAAATGTCAAGTGATTATTGTTTAATTTTTTTCAAGCTCACAGGTTTTGATTATTTAGGGTATGATCACGGAAGGAGGTAATTAAAAGTTGAAAATAACCTCTAATAAATATCGAGTAAAGATACATATTGTTTCCCGACTCTGTAGCTGTAGACATAATAAGAAACAAGATACTGAAGCAGAGTCAATGTTTTAGTGATCACAAGCTTTCGACTGTCACAGCGTCTTTCTCAAGTGAATATGACAGGAATCTATTTGTCAAGTGTGTTTGGGTGAACCAAGTCATTTGTCAAAACATCACCATATAGGGTTGGTGGTTCAAATCCACGGTCCCTATTGAGCATTGGGGACTGGCACAGAATTTGCAAGGCCTCATAAATTCTCCTTCTGAAGTGACAGCTGCCTTACTCTCTTCCAACTCGAGACCTGTGACCCTAAGGTGTTTGCAGCTGTTTAAAATTACATAGGGTTGATTTTATTTTACTGAAGTTAAAGGATTTTATTGATTACAAATTCAACCCTGTGCTCACATTATTTTATTTTTAATTGCTGTTTTGCATAGTAAATATAATTTGACTGCAGATTATTATTACTATTATCAATAATTAAACATTACTGTTATCAATGCCATAGGTGACACCAAACAGTAAAGCGGCAACGGCTGGAATTGTGGAAGGATTGCTAGTAAGATCAATCAACAGTGCTAATTGTGAAGATTGGACGCACAGTGATGCTCTTAACAGTATTAAGAGGACTGGATCCATGTTAAAACTGATCCTGTGCCGGTGAGTCGAAAAAGACACTTGGTTGTTTGTACCGTGCAGGGAGGGGGTTGGAATGCTTTAAACGTGGTGGGGTGGGAGTCAGGCATACAGGAACCTTGAAGTAAAGAGTTTGAAGAGACTTAATCAAGGCTGAACAGAATGCCATGGAAAGAAATGATTTCATTAAATTAAAGACACAAGGAGGGGAATAAAAGTAAGCAGTCAGTCATGCAGGCAACAGTGTCCTAAGCTGTCAGTTAAACTGAAGTGAAAATATTTTCATGCATTAGCTTTGTTTATTGATCTTTGCCGACTAAGTGGACTTGTCACAGCTGACTGCATTTTAAAAAGTACGTCCTGAACGTCTGAGAAATGACAGGTTTGGAAAGATCTCTTGTGCGCTAATTGAGAAATCAATTAAAAAGTGTTCCGGTTTTACCCTAACAGGCAGGGAAGTAGAGTATGAGTAAATGAATAGAGTATGAGTAAATGAATGTGTTTCTTCTGTTTATTATGCTTACATGTATGCACAGAAAGCATTGAGGGTTTGTTAAAAATTCCTACTTTTCCTGACCCTCTCTCTAGTCCTGTTTGTAGAAAAAATAACTAAGAAGAATGATAGATGCGAACACAAGCAAAGCAAACAAATTCACAGAAGAAAATGTGATTCCTCTCATATTTGTAAATGTATATAGTTTTGAACATGGCTGAAATAATAATTAATTGCCTTTGGTTTGAAATTTTTATAACCATCTGATTATTTTCTTTGGCTTTTATCTTAAATGTGCAACAAAAATACAAACTGAAAGAACAAATTAAAAGCGCTGTAAACTCACAACTTTCAGCAAATGGTTTCAGAATTATTTATCACAAAATACCATGATAATTGTCAATCATTCCATTTAAAAACAGGCCAAAGTGTTCAAAAAAATACTTTCAAATTCTTTATAATAAGTTATTCATGACTAGAACATGGAATTAAATCAATCCAAAATTGTTAGGCAGGGAGCATAACTTTTCTATGAACTAGATCAATCACCTAAAATTTAATAAATACAAATGCACACTGTTCATGCACCGTACATAGTAAATGTATACTCGTTAATTCCTTATTCTTTTTAAGTTAGTATCTTTCTTTGTAAAAGAAATGACCATGTTTTTATGCAGTTTTTTATGTTTACTTATTGACTAGTCATTTTAAAAAAACCCAAAGCATAGTATGGGATTCTTTTCTTTCATTTACGTGTGCCTAAAATTTATGTCGAACTCATGATATCTTATTTTTATGTCAAACCACTCAGCACCTTGGTGATCATCTGCATTTCAATTTTCTTAGAAGCGAAATATGATCATTGTTTTGAAAATTCAAGACGCATCACTTGTTAAATAGTGTTTGTAATTGGTTTAAATTATAATAAGCACTGTGAAGCAGATTATACTTTCTGTAAGCTGTTTTAGGAAGAGTTTTGCAATGGAGATCAATTTGAATTTGAGATCATCCATTTAGTTGACATGATCCATTAACATGTTCTTTGGTCACATTTCCAATCTGTCACTGAGAAATGTTATTATCATAAATTATTTTTATATATAGCTCATGTCTCTGCATTCATGTGTAAATGTGTTCTTTGTTATTTTTCTCAGTGTCGAAAGTAACTTTCATCTTTTTGTAACTTACTAGTATATAATTGAAACTAAATTTTGGAAGAAAAGTGCATTTGAATTTTGCTTGTTCAAAACATCCTGTGACCTTTCACAAGTCTCAGTGAAATGGACATGTTAATTGATTATTAATGAAGGTGTTCCTTTTAAGGCATGTGTTTGTTTTAGTGTGTCATTGGAGAGACCTAGTTATTGTATTACAGGCTCGGTAAGATGTGTTCAACTGGAATGCTGATTTCAACATGGTGATATCTGGCTTTGTTATCTGTCCTTTCCCATGAGAATCACACTTCCCAAGGAAATAGTTTCTTATATATCATGGCTAGTGAAGTGAAAGTTGTTTCAAAAGCAACTTTTACTTTCAGCAGGTAACACATTTGTTTAAATTTACGGATGAAATGACTAATAATTATCATGACTTGTGGCGTAGCTATAGTTTGTCTTGATCTTATTCTATTCTCATTATACAGTAAGAGTTTGTCTCTTTAGAGCCCTTTGTTTGGGATAGTACTCATCTAATAAGAGTTTCTATTCAGCAATAATTATTGCTTCATTTGGATCCCTTATACTGGCATACATAATTGATCACTTTGGTTTATGCTGAAGTGTGGCAATAAAGCAAGATCAGAATAATGTACATGAAAAAGATCACTCTTCAATCCATACTTCTGTCAGCCTGCACATGGTCTTGTCTCATTCCACTTTAACCTCAAGCCTAGTATTAAAAAAAAAACACAATTTTCATTTATTATCTTGCACTTGTACAGTAAAAACTGTAGATTTTGATGTGTGATCATCTGTGCTTGAAACTGTTCATTTCATATCAATCTCAGCTCTTAAATTTATGTGCATGATTTGTTTGTATATTTTTAAAGATGTACAGGAAAAGTGTAGCCTTTCTAGGGCAGAAGTGATCGTAGTGTAGGTTAACAAGTTACATGTATAGCCATTCCATGAGTAACATGATTATAAATCTTGAAAGGACAATGCATTTTGGTTTTCCAATTTTTTAATATTACAAAGTTTATTCAGTAATCATTTTTTGAAAATGCTTGACTGACATGTACTGTATTTAGCTTTTTTCAAAGAACAAATCAAATGATGAAAATATATTTATGAATATATGCATGTATATAGTATGTGTTGAAGGTTTTTGTTAGACTACTTTTAATTTAATGCATTAATTTATTTTTTATCATGTGAAACGTTTTTCAGAGCATCTTGCTCTCAGTGTTTTCCATGTCCTAGACAAACTGGCATGACTGCCTGTAAATAATGTATTTCTAGTTTTTTCATCATCATTTGCACATGACATTTCATGCTTGAAGGGATTGTTTATCACTTCTTTTTATATAAGATCTTTATTTAACCTGAAAAACCAAAAAAGACAACACTTATTTCAATGTCTTTTCTGTTTTTCTTTGCTCTACCCAATTTATTGTTGTAAACAACATTGTTTACAATGTCTCATAGATGTCAGTAGTTCCCATGATAAATATCATATGAACTGTCATGTATGTTTCAGTAGCTTGCTAATAATTAATATCACAATACAAAACAGGTATGTTGGGCTTATCTTGACAAAAATTTCCCTATTAAGTTTTTTTTTTGCAATTTAACTTAGTTTAAATGCCAGATGTATCTTATAATTTCATTATTAACTTTTGAAATGTCTTATTATACAGTAATTTACTCTTATCAGTCTTGATTTCATTGTATAGACTTATATTAAATTTCAATGTAAAAAACTTGTTGTAGTTCTGAAAATCTGGTGTTGCATGTACATGTATGAACATGTAACTGTGTACATTTCCACTTGTACAATCTTCATTGGTTTTATAATCTCTGGACATCACCATATATTAACACTATGGTAAATTTTATTCTTTGACTAGCAATTTGCTGTAGCTTATAATGCATTTTGTCACTTTCTACTCGGCACATGTACAGGTTCATGTATTGTAAATAAAGGTTCTATGTTATAATTTTATATGTTTTCGTTACTGTTTATTCTATGAAATAGCTACATGTAGAATTACAAATGCAACAGTTGTCACTACCTTCTCTGGTATTAAGGTACAAAGACAGTGTAATTTGTCGATTTTTTTTTTTGCTTATAATGGATGCTGAAGAGTTGTACATAAGCTGCAATGTCTGTTGAACAACAAGTAAACAGGTGACCCGATCAAAATAAAATGTACTAAACATATTCTCAGAACTCCCTTAATGCAAAATGTATGACAATTAGTGATGAAAAAATTTAAAACATTTTAACATTGGGACCTCAGTCACTCTTTATTTGTCACTCCTGCATTGTTTTAGTACAGCTGCAGTAATTTTTATTTCAAAATTGTTATTTAAGGTAATAGCAGTATTTCAGAATCAATGGTGTGTGAAAAATTATGTCCCACCTAGGAAAAAATACTTATTGATCAAGTGCCTCCCAAGTGTAAGACAATGACATTGCCAGCATGAACCAAGAAATGCCTTGTGACTAAGTTGAGAATATAAGCTATTGTAATGTAAGAAAACAACTGTGAGAGCACACAATAGGCACTTTGATTACAAAAGAATTCTGGGGCGTACTTTTTCCTGTTTCTGAATAACTGACTGTTAAATTAGTAATATCGGAGCTCGTAACTCAGGGAAAAGTGAAAAATAAAAGATAATTCGAACTCTGTTATTTCGAATTCCCTGTTATTTCAAAACCATTTCCTTGGGATTTTTCCTTCAGTCATGTATTATCAGCTATTTTGAACTCCTGCTACATTATGTGTTGTTGAATTTTCATCATGAAGGGAGCTTTAAATTAATTTTGTTAGGGATCTAATTCATTGGGCTAGCTACATGTGCTTGTATATCTCCAAGATACCCATGAGAAATGATTATTAGAGCTAGAATTAGTTACCAATCAGTTAGTACGTGACTTTGAGATAAAAGAAAGTTGCTAAATTATAATTAAATGCCTTGGTTGTTTTCTTTGGAAATTCTAAAAATAGTAACCAGGTTTATTTCAATTGAGTGTAAGCTGCAGGGACTGTGGAATTGTTATTGTTTTAAAAAATTTATTTAACCTCACGGAGGTTTTGTTTTCTTTACAAAGAGATTACTTACTGTACCTTAGTTTGTGTCTTTACTTACTTATTGCAGCTGTAAGAGCAGTATGGTATTCAGGGTATGTACTCTGCAGTAGGAATACATTGAAATCTCTGTCATGAGTAGTAAGGGCAACTCACACATCCTCACAAGTGTAGAGTTCTGCAGATAGAAAACTTAACACTATTAACAGCAGGGCAAGAGATTATTGATTTTGGCCTTAGCAAGGTGGTACATACATGTACATGCAACTTTGAAAATAGAATGTTTCTTTTACATACAAGTATTGCTGGACCCCACTAATTTGAACTCAGTTATTTCAAATTCCCTGTTATCAGCTATGTTGAACTCCTGCTACGTTATGTATTGTTGTATTTCAAACTATTTTTTTGTTTCCCTGTCCAGAGAGTTCCAAATAGCTCTAGGTTTAACTATTGTAAAAACAAGTGGATTGACAGTTTGAAAACAGTTGGATTAAGTCATGTTTCATGGAAATCCTGACAAATTTGTTATTTTTAGAATTTCTAGTTTCATTGCAAACTTTGCTCTTGCAGAAAACCTGCTTCATCCCCAGAACCCAACTCAACAAGTGATAGTTTTTTCACATCGTCTGTGTCAAAAACAACTGACGACATAAACACAGGCAGACCCAGTCATGTCACCAAGGCAACATTCAAGCCGTCATCCTCAAATGAAGTGTTGTCTTACGCCACCATGCCCAGAGGGAGTGAAAAAAAGGAGGCAGACATAAACAGATGGAGAGGAGTTGAAGAAAATAATAACAATGACGCTTTTAACTCACAGAAAGGTTTGCAATTTGCAATTTTAATTTGTGAATGGAAATCTTTCATTGTGAAATCAGATGCAGTGACCTAATGGTTAGCATGTTCAGCTCTGTGTGGAGTGGGTCCAGGGTTGAGCACTTTTCAAGGTCGCTCTGTTGTTCTTGTGTGAGATGCAATACCACACAATGGTGGAGTGGGGGGTGGGTGTAGCCTCCAAAGGCTGGCATCCTACATGCAGTACATGGTACATGTATATGTAGTAGTAGCAATAGTCCTAGTTGGTTCATCCTACAGAAGCCCGGCAACTGAATCAGGACTACATGTATGACAGAGAGTGACAAAAAATGTAGTGTCACTGAAAACAATGTAATAATAATTTATTGATTTAAACATTTTCCTTGAGGATTTCCTCTTGTATTGACTTGCTGAGTGATACATGTGTAGTAACAAGTAGGCACACAAGCCGTCTGTTTTCGTTTATGTCCCTCTGCAAACACTGCTGTGCACACCTTGCCTTTTTGTGACTCAATGTGTTTACTTTTCTCACTTTCTAGATCATTTATCAGATGGTAATGAGTGGAATCCTGATATTATATCAGGTGTAGTTCGACCTCCGGAGCAAATTAAACTAGTTCATGGCATAGAGGCTATTCGATCAGTGTCCAGTTCTTCATCGTCATCAGGTAAATAAATGCTTTTCATGTTTGCAACATCTACATTTACTGTGCAGGATATCAGGTATTATTAAAAACTGGATCATTGGATAATGCAATTCAATAGTTTTTATTGGCTTAGCCACCATGATAAATGACCCACCTTACCATACTCTACAAATGTGGTAAGCATATGCATAATTTTTTGGGCATTTTTAAATTTTTATTGTTATTTTATATTTAGTTTCTGATATTTTGGGGCATTTTTATTACAGCAATTATTCCACTTGCGCTTGTTGGAGATGATTGGAGCCATCTTGGTGCTACACACCTCATTGGCTACATGTATCTACATGTACCATCTCATATCCAACATGCGCTTAACAATTATTGTTCAGTAAGTTTTGGTCTTGGTAACACTATGGGAGCCATAGTGGCTTAATGCCTAGTGCTTTGGATGTAAGATCAAGAACAAGTGGCTGGAGTCTCAGGGGGTTGTCTTGTTGTGCTATTGTCTACGCCTCTTATTGCTTTTACACAATAATTCTAGACACACTATAAGTTAGTAGGAGTGTTGAGAAAATCTAGTGACCGCTGGAGATTGCCCGAGATACACTAGAAACCGGAGTCACACCTTACTGCTTGCCCTGATGAGCTGTGTTAGCTCCTCTGATCATTTAACTTAAACCGTTACCATTGATTGTAACACTAGACCAAAAACAGTCAAGTGTCTCAGGGGTTTTATTAGCGTCTTCAGTAGGAGGGTTACTGGTTATCAAAGGTGGGCAAAACGTCTTTTAATTATTAGTGAGGATACCTTTTCCCTAGATTGTGAAACCAGGTTGGCAAAATGATCCTCACAGCTGGTCATGTTGCCCTGAGCACAGCCATTATTGAAACCCCTGGCATGCATCTGAAGGTCAAAAGATCAGACCACAGTCACCATTACTCACATTCATGTTCCTACGATGTTGTAGAACCTAGTGTTTATGTGAAAGCTCCAGCAGATGCACGGGGATTCACTGACAAACCACGTCCCATTGGACGAGGAGGAAGAAGGTAAACTTGTAGCACATGTGTCAGAAATGAATTGTTCAATTGTTCAATTATGGGGGAACAAAAGCAGTTTATGTTGGCTTGTGTTAAAATCTTTCAAATTCAAGTTTTTGCTTGTGTAAGATAATTTTCTGAATTTGTTGTGGATGAAAAATAGCATTGATTGAGCAAGATTTGTTTTAGTTTATTTTGCCTTCTTTTGGTGACCAAACTTGGTTACTCTTGATGTTAGTGGAGAGGGGTATGGATGTAATTTGTCTAAAATGAGTAAAATATCTGTACATATACATATACATTAAGGGTAGTACATGTACATGTACATTGTACAGGGAAAATGCAACTTACTATTACCTAAACAATCACTTCAGAAATTTAAAGGATTAATTCAGTACTTTAAATGCCCTGTTAGAAATGTTATTGCAATGACTAAACATAACCTTAAACACTAACTAACAAAATGGATAAATTAATCTAGATAAATGTACATGTTGGTGTTTTGTGTGATACGAGTGTGAAGTATTTAAAATTCTTTCACATGATTGATAATTTTTCATTAAGTGCAAATAACCAAATTGTTTTCTTAACTCTTCTTCATTCCCAATTGTCAGCTCAATAAAAGATGAACATTCTATGTGTGCTTAGTGGTTGGCAGAGATTGTTGGTTTTGTATACACTTCATATACATCATTGTTCATCATGTTACATGCATAATGTACTTTTAACCCTGTATGTGAAAATTTAAATAAGTATGTAGACAATCACGTACATCTGACAATCACACACTCAATTGCAATGTCCCTTCTGCATGTACCCAGGAAAAGGCCTTAAAAAAAACTTCTGTAGAAGAGTTAAGTAGAAGAGTTAATCCATGTTTACAGTAAGTCCAGCAAGGTCTCATGACCTGCTTTCCACCTCTTTATGGGTAACTTCTACTAGAAGAATACCACACATTTAATTAGTTAGTCATGAAGTTTAATGTGGTCAGACTATCTTTTTGGGGGAGGGAGACTAGACTGGACTCTAGACAGTGGTGTTACAAATGTAGCCTTGATTAAAAAATGTTACTGAATAGACCAATCTTATCATTTTTAATTGACGATCACTGTTTGCACTCATTTAGATAATTATTTTAGTTAGAGGAATTTAAATTCCCAGGCATAACATTTAACAGTGGATGGCTGTAATCAAAAATAATTTTACAACAGTTATATCATAATGGTAAGTATTTATTAAGTGTTCAGTGTTGTCAAGATTCTTTACAAAATTTTACTAATGCCCATCACTTTTTCCTTGTTCCTATGTATAATTTCATAGATTTGATGAAAGTGGTTTACCGACAACTGGGACTAATTTACAGTTAGTATTCCCAATAATTTCTTCTCATTTTGCACTTTAACTCGCGTTTTATAATTCACAATAACTTAGTTTCTGCACTCATTGTCATAACTTGTTTTCCATTTCATTCATCATTGACTTATGTACCTCCTTCATGATAATTTCCTTTGCATATGGAAATGGGTAAGTTACAGTCTAACTTTGCCTTACGCCCACCATGAATACTGTTCCACTGTCTTGCTTGCATGACTGATCGCATACTGCAGAAATAAAAATGTCCCAAGGTATTTTAACAGGCCCTTTTTTGTAAACAATGTTTCTTAAATTGTAAATCATTTTTTCTGACTAGTACAGCTTTATTCTCCTTTGTGTGTGAGTGGTGTTTCGCTTGTTCTATATCTTTCATTTTTTCCATCCACTAGCTGTCATTGTTGTACAGGCAAATTTGTACCAATGCTGTCTGTACAGTGTACTTTTTGGTAGCTTCCCAATAATGTTTCAATTAACAATAAACACATAAACATACATATGAGGAAGAAGATGACTAGCAAAGTTTAAAATTAAAATAGGTGAAATTAAATATTTTGCAAATAACTGCATTAAAAGTATTTAAAGTAATGAAATTAAATGTGTGCATCACTAAAATAATTAATGGTGAATTATGCAAGGAGACAGAATTTTAAGCATAATTATAATTGGGGTAACTTATTGTACACCAAGAGAAAACTCATTTATAAATAAAATTAATAATGAGGAAAGCAAGTAAAGTGATAAACGAGACAGTCTAAATGTCATATTGATTAAGAATTGAGAGACCAAAAACATTACACTTGGGGTATAAACATTTAAAAATACGTAACTTTAAACTTTTTATTGATTGTTTGAAAGTGATTTAAAAACTTTTATGAACTTTCCCAATTAAACAACAACAGCATGCAGTGGAATAATGCTTTGCATGCCGTACATGTAAACAACAAGGTACTGAGTAGTAAAACTTTGTTTTGAATTAATAGCTTTAATTTGTATTCCCAGTGGTATAAATCTGCAACATTTTACTCATAAAAAGAGAATACCAAAGAGTCAAGCCTAAGCAAGAACCTTAGTTATTGCCTGGATTGATGTCTTAGAAGTACATGTGTTCATCCAAGCTGTCAGTAGAGAATAAAGGAAAGTGCAGCTTGAACAGAATTTAAACTGAAAATTTATAAGGTGTCAAATTACTTTCTGAGAATCTTGTGGTTGTATTTCAAAACTGGTTGTAACCCACGTTGCTGCCCATCATGGGAATGCAGACAGATATCCCTGCCTATTGGCATGCAACAACAGGCAGTAATTTGTCTGCTTTCCAGACGATATCGCTCTGAACTGTCAAAACATGTTGCAACCTGGAGGGCTGATAACAGCACAATAACATGTAGTTAAACTTGATTTCAATTTGACTTGCCTATAAGTTTTTCTTTGTTTCTTTTCAAGGTTGACATCAGGTTCTATTGGTTCTGAAGAAGAGTTCAACATGGCAAATGGTGATGCAAGTAGTTCTGACTCAGCTCCGTCAGTGACAAATAGACCAGCTCTGCAGCAGTTTAGAAAACAAAAAGAACAGGCAGCTGTTGAAGGTATGGGTCATGTGATTATGGTGAAAGAACTATATTTTCTTGCGGGACACAACAGGTAATCCTGAGCAGGCAAGATACATGTAGCGCCATCTTGCCTGTTCAGCTAGCTAATCACAGCGAGGGTTTCAGTTCATCTTGCCCTCTCACGGAGCTAGCCATATCATGTGGAGGCAGCGTGGCTGAGCCGGACTTGAAATCTGGAGGTTGTGGGTTCAAGTCCTGCTCTGACCACTAAGCTGGAGTTGTTTCTTTGGCCATGCTTGGAAATAGCCAACTGGTCTGCCTCCCGCCAGTTGGGAATTTTAAGCCTATCATGTTTATTTGGAATATTTAGATCTTTCTTTCAGTTTAAGTGGCATGTCTTAGAACTAGCTAGTTGTAGCTAAGCACATCAACCACTATAAAGTAACATTCAACATGTAACATTTAATAGCCCTCAGGGCTTCAGTGTCAGTCAGCTTCTGTTGAAAGTTTGAAACAACATTTTGATACACGTCTGTGTATAGTGATAATGGATTAACCTCGCATTTCAGCCACATTGGAACCAAAGCCCATCAGAGCAGCTCCACCAACTCAAACCAAACCCAGGAAATACGGCGACGAGCGGAAAATTTTGGAGACAACTAATGCAGGACCTCATCGCCCAGTAAGTTACACTCACGTCCTGCAGTAGTAAGCTCATGTTCTTCCCCTTTTAAACACTTTCAAAATTATTAAGTTTCAAAATTATAAGTTGAACTTTTTCGTATTTTATTTTTTTGTCTCCCTTATATCAATAAATGTTGTTGTTGTT